AGGCCAATCAGCTAACCAGGATTTTCGCCCCTTCCCAAAATTACTTCTACGGAAGGTTTCCAGATGGATATGCGGAGTCAGGTTAGCTGGGAACAGCTCGGTGACGCTTGTCTTCTGGGTGAAATGACTCGGCAAACAACCCGAGTTAAAATCCCCTTAGGTCTTATTGGCGTGCTGTGGGAACACCAGAGCCAGGTTAACCCGCTAATTGTTGTGGTCAGGAAATCAGGAAAGTAAACAATGCAGAGCAACATGGAAGGAAGCCAGGGCGTAGTCATTGTTTCGCTCTATTATCTGTCTGAATCTCTTTCACCAGAGCTGCTCCATGTTTATCGAATGGAAACAGACTTATTTCAGCTTGTTAGATCAGAAGCGACTGGCGCGCTGTGATGACGTCCGTATGATGCATTCGTCTGACCCGGGTAGATACGGGTCAGTGAGCTGTTCCCACTGCCACTGTTCCCGGGTTTAAACAGGTTTTCAGCCAGTGGGAATGTTCAGACGGAATGTTCATGGACAGAGCAAGGGGAAAATAAGTGGAAGGAAAACCTATTAAGAAAAAGAAACTCAAGCAACAGGAATGAATGCAGCCTTGGTAAAACCAGAAGCAACGCTGCAGATGACCTGAAGGCCGCTGTCCAAACAAGCCGGGTTTAATGAATGCTGCAGCAGAACCACAGTGAATCTTTCTAAAGGAGCCCAAACCTGATACCAAATGCCGGTACTGTAAATATTATTCAGTGAGAGCAAATTCAAAGATTATAATCCCTTTTTAATACATTTGACCACATTTTGATGAAATTCTAATTAGCTGCGTTTAAATTGACTAAATGATCCTTAATAAACCAGCTGCGGAAGATATTCAGGAAACATGTCTGTGTTTATCCAGACCTGGAAATGAAGGGAAACCGCCCTGCATAGGCACTTAGTCATGCCTGATTAAGGTTGTGGTTCTGTGCCGCGCTCACCTGGCTCTGCGTACATGCAGCCGCTGACAGTGATCCTCTCTGCTGCAGATAAAACCTGAACACGGAGGCCCGGGGTAGCTCACACGCTGCAGCGGCGCAAACTTCTCCAGGACCCCTTCTGCACACACAGACAGACAGGGGCGGATTTAGGAAATCTGGGGCCCTAGGCAAAGACGGGCATGGGGCCCTCTGAACTGAGAAGACGACACATAGAAAAGACTAAAGCGCTAAGTTAGCAACACTGCTCTTTGCATGGTTTGTTTTCAA